CCCCCGCCGATCCACACCAGAGCGAGCCACGCCCCCACCGATCCACACCAGAGCGAGCCACGCCCCCGCCGATCCACACCAGAGCGAGCCACGCCCCCACCGATCCACACCAGAGCGAGCCACGCCCCTGCGGAGAGTGGCTGGAGGGTACACAGAAGAGTGGGCAGGCGGTGGGATTCCTGGCCCTGCCAACACTCATCAGCTGAGCGCCGCAGAAGCTCAGCGTTCTGTGCCTCCATCTCCTCGGAGGGGACGGACACGGCAGTGGCCACCACTTTTATGGACCCATATCAAGAATGACGTGATGGAAGCCGCACAGAGCGCTGACAGCAGGGCCTCGAGCGCACGGCCCAGCAGCCGCCGGCCCACGGCCTCAGCCAGAGCAGACAGATGCGTCCGCCTTGGCCCTTGGCCGCACCCGCGGAGGCCGCACCTCAGTCCACACTCCTGAGCACATCCGTGCGGACATGTGATCTTCCTGTGCCTCCGGTTCTGGTCTAGGACGAGTGAAGGAAGGTAGATCGGGTAACGGAGGCGCAATCCGGCCTGGGCAACGCCGCATGCACAGCACCTGCAGCCCCCTGCACACACTTCTCTGGCTCCCCTCAGACGAGGCTGCCAGGGAGGAGCCTCCCGGGAGCCAGACACACACCACTCTGCGCTGTCCAGCTGCCCACCCTACCAAGGGTGCCACCTTGCACCCCGTGTCCCTGCCACCGCGGGCCGGATGGGTCCGGGGCAGGGAGATGGGCGCGGGCTTGGACGGTCCCGAGCTGACAGCTTTCAAGTGTCTACTCTCACTTGCATACCTGCTACAGGTGCTCACCACCACGAAGCAGCTGTGGAGGACAGGGCTCACCCGTGAATACCCCCGACTACTCAGCCAGCCCCCTGGTCCTGGGGGGCTGCAGAGGGGGTGGCCTCAGCCTCAGCCCCATCCCAGCTCGCTGGCTGGTCAGTGCCAGCCAGGGGACGGCAGTGAAGAGGCGAGCCGGACTGAGTACAAGCCAGTGCTGTGGGGCAGCCCTTCTCCCCACAGACCTGCCCCACCCCACCAAGCACATACAGTCCCACCGACACTCCACGGCCTTGTCCACAAACCCACACAAGACTCGTCAGTCCCTCCTTGATCTCTGATGGTTAGCTGACAACTGGCGTGCAGACAGGGGGCACTGCAGACCACTCCTGCACTTGCCTGGAGCTCCTCTCCAGGAGAAACTGAGGCTCCGTGCCTCAGGGACACAGAGTGAGCTGCCGGCTGGTCAGGGGCTCAAGCCCTCCACTTCCTCCTCCACCTGGGGTGCCACAACACGCTCCCCGTTGTCCAGTTAAGAGCACACAGCCCCTCCCCTGCCCTCCTCCCCCTCCACCCCGCAGCCCCCCCATGGGGCCTGCCCTCACTCGACACCACACGTGGCTCAGAACAGGAGGGACGTGGGGAGGGAAGCTGAGCAGGTGGCGCTCAGGACAGGCACACACCAAGGCACTCTTGGGGGAGCCTTCTCCAGCCAGCTTGTGCCAAAGACCACATCGTGAGGGCTGTCCATGGCACAGCCTTGGCAGGCCAGGACCCGGCCTGGGACCGAGGCTCATGAGCTCTGTGAGCCAGTCTGCTCCAGAAAACAAAAGCGACACCGCTCTGCCATACTCCAGACACACCTGTGCACACAGGGCACGTCACCATACGCCAGGTGCTCAAACACACGGCTCGCATCACCCAGATGTGCTCATGTGCCTGTGGCCACCACAGCAGGCACCACCCAGATGTGCGCCTGTGCTTGAAGCCACCACAGCGGGCCTGCGCACTGTGCTCTGGCCGCACACTCAAGAGCCACAGCCACAGCAGCAACACGCAGACCGTGCTGAAAGCTCCTGCCACTGTGGGGGGTGGATGCACCTCCTGCGGAGGCTGAGCATCAGTGACACACAGGGCCTCTCTGCCCCAGAGGTTGGGCAGGCCTGGCAAGGCCCCCACGCTATGAGGACCACACAGGGCAGAGAGCCTGGAAGAGTTTCGCCATCTTTGACCCAACACCACAGCCAGCCTGGCCTTCTGGGTTGGCTCTGTGGCTTCCCACAGCCCTCCACATCCCTGGGAGGAAGCCAGGACCAGGCCTGACAGACATCTGCCCCAGGCAGCTTGTCCCTCCCGGCTCGGCCCCCACGCAGCATTTTCAGGATGAGCCTCTAACTCAACCACTGGGCTTCAAGTCCCATTTATGGACTGGTGTGAGCTGGGGCCCGGTCTCCCACAGCCCGGGCCTCAGTGTTCTTAGGACCCCCCCCCCAGGCCCCTTCCTTGAGCTGGGGTCTGGCAGTCCTTACCCTGTGTGGGCCGTGAGGGTCAGGGACAGAGCCCTGCTCCATCACCTTTGGCTGTCCTGTCTGCATAGGTGCCCCGCTGCTGACCGCTGACCTCTGCCCCCTCGCCGCTGCCCTCGGCCCACCAGACCGAGAGACCCAGAAGGACTCAGCACTCGCTCGGAACAAGCCACAGCAAGCCCGACCTGGTCATTAGGAAACTGAAGGCAGGTGGCCTCCAGTGTTGGTAAGCACAGGGACAAGGAGGCCTGGGCAGCTGGGCCCACGCGGACCCTGACCTTTCCTGTGGGTGGAGAACAGGGCCTGGGCTGCACACCTGTGAGCCCGCGCGAGGGGTCCTCACTGGCCGTGAGGCCGGTCCCTGCCATACTGACCTCCAGCCGCAGCCCGGCCAGGTGCAGGCAAAAGGCTTCTCGCCAGTGTGCCGCCGCAGGTGAGCCTTCAGATGGCTGCTCTTCGTGTACATCTTGCTGCAGCCGGGGAAAGTACATTTGTGCATTTTGATGAGTTCTGCTGCTGGGTTCTTGGTGAACTTCTGGCCCACGAGGAGACCGGCGGGGCCGGGTCCCAGGGGTCCCGACCCAATGGGTTTGGCGGCGATGGGCACCGGAGCGATGCGCACGAACTTCGAGGGCAGGCTCAAGCTGGAGGAGGGCACCACCTGGGGCACAAGCGCGAAGGTCTGCCCCTGGATGCTGACCAGGAGCTGGGCCACCTTGACGTTCTCGGGGGCCTGCCCGGGGGAAGCGGGGTCTGCGCCCGCCTCCTGCTTCACGGCTACTGGCTGGATCTGTAGCAGTACTGGAATGGGACCGTCGGGTGCCGGTCCCTCCCCTGGGCCCTGGGCACTGCCCACGCCGGTGCCATCTGGGGGAGGGGTACCGCGTTCTCTCCCTGCAGACCCTGGGTGTAGGTGGCTCCTGTGGGGCCCGGCCAGCTCTTGGCCACAGGCTTCGAAGTCTTTGCTGCTCTCTGGGGCCTCCCTGGCCTTCGGCTCCATGTTCTCCTCCAGGAACTCCTCGATCTCCTCCAGGGTGGGCTGGAAGGGCCGGGGGACGTCATCAGGGTCACCCAGAGGGAAGTCAGAGAAACAGAAATGTTCCCCCTTCGTGGGCACTGGAGCTCTCCGCCAGGGCCCCCACGTCACGGGGCTACTGCTGTCCCCAATGCTCCCGCCGCCACCGCCACTGCCCAGTGTGGCGTGGGACAACAGGAAGTCCAAGATGCTGTCCTGGCCCTTGGTGCCCGGCCTTCCTCTGTAGCAGGAGCAGCAGGCGTGCGAATCGGGGCTGGCACAGGAGCAGGGGCTGGAGGCGTCGCTGTCATCTTCAGAGGCAGGCGAGGGCAGCACGTGGTACCCCCGCCGGCCGGCCAGCCTCTCGCCCAGGTAGCCCACGGGGCGTTTTGGAGACGAGAAGGTCTCATCTACTGGAACCAAGTGGTCCACCATGCTGGCCTGGCCGTGCCGACGGCCGCTGCAGAGGGAACAAGGAGGCTGGTCAGAAAACCGGGGGCTCGCTGACGCTCAGCTGCCTGCCCACAGCCTCCACAGCCAAACCCGGCTCCGGCCTCCATCCCTCGGGAGGACGGGGCCCTAGCAGTGTTGGCTGAGGTTGCACCACTCTGCTTGCAAAAGAGCCCTCGTCACCCCATTGCACAACCCAGGCACTTCTGGTCTCAGACACTCCTGGAAAAGGACACCCCATGTGCCTGTGATCAGCCGAGTGTGTGTGAGAGGGGCCTTCCAGGGGAGGAGGTATGCTGCACCCAGAATGGCCCAGGACGGGAAGACACTGTGTCTGCAGACCCTAACTTCAGCTTCCTGCTAGAGGAGTCACCCTGGGAGCAAAAGGGAGAATGGCCGAGTGTCCTCGTGACAGGAGGTGGCTGGGGCTTCCAGGCTGAGCAGGGCACCTGTGGCTCACATCTGTAATCCTAGCTATTCAGGAGGCTGAGATCTGAGGACTGACATTCAAGGCCAGCCCAGGCAAGAAAGACTCCTTTATCTCCAACTAGCCACTAAAAAGCCAAAAGTGGAGCTGTGGCCCAAGTGATTGAGTGCTAGCCTTATGCAAAGAAGCTCAGGGACATTGCCCAGGCCCTTGCCCAGCCCTGAGTTCAAGCCCGTGGACTGGCACAAAACAAAACAACAACAACAAAATCAGGCTGTGTGTTAAATGTGAATTTCAGGTTGAAAAAAGAATCTACTTTTCACAGAAGCAGACCTCGGAGGGGATACACTGATTTTAACTTTTTTTTTTCCTGAGTTTTAAATGGGCAATTATCTTTTAAATGGGTATTTAATAGTCAAGAGGCAAAAAAGTCAAACAGCAGCAAGCTCTTCCTCCTCCCCGCTCAGGGCTGTTTCCCAATCCAAAGGGACGGAGTTCTGCCTCCCCCTCTGTGAACAGGAGAGGCCAAGGCCTGGGCCTCCTGCTGGGTTGTGGGCCTCACAGCCTCATCCACCATCCCCTTTGGCGCCTTTGCCTCTAACAGGATGGAGAAACACGCGCAAACGCCCTCCCACCTGCAGACACCCCCGGGGGCCCATCAAGCGGCTGAGCAGAATGGGAGACACGTGTGACTCGCACAAACACGCACACCCATTGCCACTGCTGTCCTCCGGGACACTCACCACCCTGGGGGCTGGGCTAACGCCTATCTCCCCGCTCCATGTCTCTGCAGAGGTCCTGCTGGTGCCCAGGAGGGGCTCAGAGGACACTGGCAGACGCAGTGGGGAAGCCGTGTCTCAGGAAGCCAAAGGCCATGCTAGGTTTGGCGTCCGAGGGGGAGAGTCAATAGTGCCTGGCCATGACAGGGCCACCTCTCTGGACCTTTGTCCCCATCCAGCAACCACGATGGGCTGGGTGTTTACAAGCTGAAGGAGCGCCAGCATCCCTGCTGCTTGGCATCACCTCTGCATCTACCCCCTTGTCTTCAGGACCACTCCCCCCCCGCCCCCGACCCACACACGCAGCACAGCACCTCTGGCAGCAGTGACCGTGGGCAAGTTCCCCACCAGCTCCATGCTCGGATGGTCTCTAAGCCTCCCTCCCGCACAAGGACACAAGGACCTTTGACTCAGCTCCCACATGGCCTGGGAGCCCCTAGGAGGGAAGCTCCAGGAGGAGCAGGTTTGCAGAAGGCCACCGTCCTCAGCTGAGGCTCTAACCCGGGGCTGTTCTAAGATGCACACTATTAAATCAGAACCCCTACGCACAACCATTTGAAGATAATAACACAAATACAATGCACACGATTCATCAACTTCCTGGGAAGGAATGGAGCTCCAAAGCCTGTGCTACACAGAGCTCTGTCAACCACGGTGCGGAGTGGCACCACCTGCCCGCAGGTCATAGCTCCGGGCAGCCCGGGGCCTCCCCCTCTTCCGCCCTCCCTCCCCCCCCCTCACCCCTCCCTCACCCCCTCACCCCTCCCTCACCCCCCCTCACCCCTCCGAGCTTGTCAGTTGGCCCTGTGCGTCCCTCTTCCCCAGCACTCCAGGTGGAGGCTCCCAAAAGGGTGCGTGTGCGCGCGTGTGCGCGCCTGTGTGCGTGCGCGTGCGCGTGCGCGTGCAGGTGCGAGGACTTGCACTCGCTCTCACAGTCTCGCCGGGCTCTTTTTACTCAAGGCTGGGGATGCTCCGGCCGAGCCGCACCTCCGCTCCTGGTTGGTATTAATGAACGATTCCCAGTGCGGCCGCCAGGCCCACTGCTGGGCCTCCCGGGAGGTGCCCCGTGGGAAACTACCGAGGCACTTTTGCTTCCTGTCTACCTTCCCACCAGAATACAAGCCAGTGCAAAGCGATTGATTCCGGAGTGAAACACGCACGGGGCTGGCGCAGGCACGCGCGGGGGGCCGGGATCCGGCAGCTGGGCCTGCACGCGGGGCTCCGCGGCTCTGAAGGGCAAGCAAGGGCTCCAGG